GATGAATGCGAAATCAGGAATCAGGAAACTGTGCTAAATTTATTTCTTTACATAACTACTCTAATCAAAGTGTCTACGCCTAGTGGTATGAGATATATATGGTCGAGTCACTGCGTCCTTCCACCACGCAGCTGAAAGCAGGCTCAGTGTATCAAGCAATAAAACTAACGAAAGAGGCCGATGTCAGGTATATGCACACACAATATATCCTTCAGCAACAACCACCTCTGGACAACTAAATTACGTTATCAAACTAAATTAAAAATAAAGTTAGATTTTTTTGCTAGCTAAAACTCTTTGACACCTTAAAAGTTTAGTCGAACTCCGTTCAATAAAGAATAAACTTCAATAATCCATTTAATGACCATATATTAAGTCAATGGCAGCAGAACTCTAGTTGCTTTAGAAACTGCCTTAGCATTCATGTTCTTCTGAATTCTTAAAGTCTAAAGAAGATCATATATTACATTGAGTGATTTCGCCAAAACTATCAATGTTAATCTACATCAGGTTTAAGCTTCCGCAACAAAACCTTCTCAAAAAATATATTCATCGCTTCCTTACAAATATAAAAAACTAACGTTGGTGTATCTGAGATAGAAGTACCAAAATTTTTACTTCCTAGTGAATAGAATGGCTGTCCATGGCCAAATCCATCTAGTTTGTAGGGCGCCTCTCAGCCTATGCTTACACATGGGTGACCTATCTGCTCACAAGTGATTGGTGTTTGCTTCTATTTGGAAGACAAAGAGATGAATTCATTTGAGGTCAATCCTCGGCTTGCTGTAATAATATGTATTGAATTCTAGTCAGTATTCTGTAGGGGGATGCAAAGGTTGAGTCCGGTCGTGAATCATCCAATTTTGCAAATCGACTGAAGTTTATGAAACGAATAAGGAAGCCTGACAAACGTCGCTCTAACACCATACCTGTTCATTCAGATATCCCTGCGGATAACTTTTCCAAAGAAAACAACGTGTCCTCTGACATTGTTACCGTCAAATTAACGGGTTCGCAAGAAAAATTCACGAAAAGTTTAACCGACGAGAACGACACTTTACGGAACAAGAATACAATGTTGAAGTTTGATTTATTATTCTTATTGCTGTTTTTTTAAGATATCAGGTTGAACTGCTTTCTGATCAGCTGAATGACCTCCGCGATGTAAACATGGACTTAAGGAATCAAAATAGTCGTATAAGGGAGGTAAATGAATTATCCTTACTAATTGTTAAACTGATATACTCGAAGTCGATTGCTGTTCCTGTCTACTTGGTAGTGTCATTGAAGTATGGTGGACTTTTACAATTACTTGGCTAACTCTACTTTTATACCTTTTGCTTTTCTATTCAAATTCCTTTTT